GTCTGTAGTTACGTTTTTTTTTAAAATTTCTACTTTTCTCGTGTACCTCCTTTTAATATGTCTATTTGTACAACATTGATTATGTTTTTATGTCAATTAATTTATTTTAATGATTAGATTATTTTTATATTGTGGTTAAAAATAGAAACAATTAAAGAAAAATATCATTAAAGCATTTAAAATATTGATATAAGTATTTTTCATTTTTAAATACCCCTTCGTATAATACAGGCAGGGGCAACTTTTCTTGAGCAGCGAACCGCGTGGCTTATGGTTCATCACAGAACGGGCCACACTACTAAAATAAAAATGAGGTTTTTTTTCGTAGTAAGATCAAGGTGAAATCAAGCTAACTCAGCTTTTTTCACTATCGAAGACTATATGCGTAAACATATACTTTAGAAAGGCGGGGAAAGTTGATTTTTGCGGGGAGGGGGCAGAAAATAAGATGTCACTTTGGCTTCTTGTCTCCAAGGAAGAAATATCTACTTTGGTTTGTTATCTATAAGGAAAAAATATCTACTTTGGCTTGTTATTTACAAGGAAGAAATATCTACACCATACAAATTTTAATTTGGAATATCTACATAGTAAAATATGATAACATATATCGAGAAAATGTAATTAAAATATTAAAAAATGTTCTATTAATAAAATTTAAGGATAAACACCAACTAAAAATTCTAATTAAGGCGTGTAGATCGCACCAAAGTAAATGCATGACGTGTACATCGCAATAAAGTGTTTATTTCATGTTTCATCTGTTTTTACATATTTAAAATGTCTTCCTTTCTCATATGTCTAGGTAATAGCTCCCCCTCCCACACACTTGAGTGTTAGGGTCATACAATCAAGGAGTTGGACTGGGATATTACCAAACACCATTAAATTCTGCACGTCACTAGATATAATACTTGCCATTTTATATGTGGGTTAATTTCTCTGCGGGACAATTTCTGACTTCCTTTTGTTTCTTAAGGTGTTGGTATATCAAGGATGTATTAATTCCTTTTGTGGGCCTTGGAGAATCGAAAAGACTAAAATATTTCCATCTCTCTTTTCAAGCAGCTTATTAATATTCTTAACTGCTTTCTTTGAATCATCTGCGAGAACTTTTCTTGCTAACGTTTTACCCTGGCATGAAATGAAAAGATTAATTGCTACATCTGCTGCTAAGAAAATTGACTCACCGTGTCATGTTAGAGAATATTTCTACCAGGGTGTATCATACTCTTTTATAAGTTTACCATGCATTGAATATTGCTGCCACATCTGGTCTGGTGTTTCTTGACCTGGCATCTCGGCTACAGTCCCTTTTTCGCCTTTTCTATAAATACTTTCATGGTCGTTGTTATGAGGAACTTTCCTCTGTGATAATTGTATATATGGGGACTAGTTACGAAATGTGGGTCACAAATGCTTATAATAGTGGAAATAAATATTGCCGAGGGTGTCAAAAGTGAATACAGTAATAGTCGTGTCAAGGGAATAACTGTCCTTTTGAGAAACTGTTTCTTTGTAGGCCCGAATTTTAAACATTGCTGAACAATCGTTATAAGAGTTATACATATTTTAGATTTAAAATGAGGGCCAAGGTGAAGTATAAAAATTAGTAATAATCACAAATAATATATAATAATACTTCTCTTCTAACTTCTTGCAACTTTGATCTTCAAATATTTAAATGCAATGTCAATCGTTATCTTCCGCGTTCTTAAATCCTGTTCCTTTATTGTCCTCTCTTTTTAATAATACTTTCACTCACACACACACACGTACGTATATATATATATATATATATATATGGTATTTCTTCTATCGCACTTCTCACTTGTGGAACTCTCTTCCCGCTTCTTGCTTTCCAGTGAACTTTGATTTTCAAAAATTTAAATGTTAACTTCTGTCTTCTTAATTCATATTCTTTTATTGTTCTCTCTCCATTTTTTTCTTGTACACACAATACACCCCCCCTTGCGTCTTAGTGGCTTTATTGTCTTAATTGGGGTGAAATGATTAAAAAGAAAATACTGTACAAATATTTACTTCTCTGAAAGTTTAAAGATCACTATGTCAATATATCTGGAATAGTTTCTAAAAAGACTTCAATTATGAACATGGGGTCGTTTTGACTTTACGGTTTATCAACACTTTGTGGTTTATTTAAAGCCAAAACTTATTTTGAATTATAAGAATAATTATTTTTGGGGTGAATGAATATTACATTAACAATTTTTTGAGAATAACTATAAATACATGTTTCTACTATTTAATCCATAGCTAGGGGGTGGAAATGGATTCATACCTTTCCCAAGGAATTTTACGCATAATTGAATGTAACGAAACCAACTGGAATTTGACCTTGGCACTCGGATTCTCATCCTGGGCAGCTATTCATTAGACAACTCGCACATCCACTTAAAATAGTGAAGCTGATTCTTATTAATGTTTTTTGATTGATTTATTCGTTTTTACGGCTTATCAACCCTTTAAAGCCAGAAAAATATTTCTATATTTTAAGAATTATTTTTGGAAGATAATAATGGTTTTAGCTATACAAGTTTTACTATTTAACCCATAGCTGGTGGGAGAATAGGTGGATTCATATCTTTCTCAAAGATATTTTCACGTAAGTGAATATAACGAACCCAATAGGAATTGAAATTCCAGTCGGATCCACTACATTCATCTACATGCTAATACCCTTGGGAAAGATATTAAACCTCTTCGTGTGCCTAAGCTATGGGTAAATAGCAGAGCAAGACTGGGTTCTATAACCTTGGGTGGCAACCGGTCTAGGAGAAGGAAAAAAAACTGAATTCAAAACTTGCCTGGAGAGGGTTGGGCTCCGTCAGGCTATCTTGCCCAAGAAACACCCTTTTATTGTGGCTGCAGTACACATGGCGCCCGACGACCCTATGGGTCACGGGATAAAAAAATAAGTTAATACAGGATAGCGTAGAAGTAACCGAACTTAAGTCAACATTAGCCCATCGCCCTAAACTTGAATCAAATCTTATAAAACGATTTCAGTCCTACTGATATCAATAAATTTTTATGCAATAAGAATCCACAAAAATTGACTTTAGTAAATCCTTTTTCATAGGCGCTATATATAATCCTACTTTGAATCTAAATGTTTCAATTTACAATTTTACATACCAAACAAATAAAAGAAAACGCAAAGTTAAATATATAAAATGTAAATGGCACAGCCACTTGGAACCGAGGATGACAGGCTAGATTCCTGCTCAGGTACATTTTTGTTCAATACCTACCCTCCTCCACTCAATGAGAATGAGACGACTGAGTATGACGATAAACTACATCTACCAGCAAGGCGTCTCACCAGGAGGTTTTGATGGGCGTGGAACCACCTCTTAATTGCTGTTGTTCCCAGATGCACTCTGACCCGACGTGTTAGCACCTGTTAGGGTCCCAGCTACAGGCAAATAGTTAACCCCCAATCTGGGCTCAAAACACTAGGAAAATGCAAAAATAGGTTTTTATAGAAAGTACATTTTTGAAAAAATCGTTACCAGCAATAGACAAAAACCCCTTCACAGAAACCTTATCTACAAACTGATTTACAAAGAATACTTACAAAGAATACATATTCTATTCCTACGAATCTACTGTAAAAATCTTGTTTGTATTAAATAACTCATTGATGTTGATATGCCATAAAACAAACAAAAACACCCCCCCCTCAAACTGCTGGATCAGCCCCAGGCTAAGAAGTAAAGTTATTAGCATATAAAGACATTAATTTTCCTGCTCATTCAAACGATTTTATATTTGATCTTAATCCCTGTTAATATTTGTTCGGATTAACATTGAAATAATCCAGGTTTTTTACAACATTTGCTGTTCTTCTGCTATGTTAAAATAACAAAACAAACAATGCAAAAAAAACAATGCAAAAAAACAAAAAAAATTTTTTCAGGTAGATTTGCAAACAAAGTCTCATTGGTTTACATTTCCTTTAGATGTAAGTGTATTAGATAGGTGGCAAGGTCTCATTTTACAGATAAAATGGAGAGATGTAACAGTAAGTTCTGTGTTAACAGTTTCTTCTCATTTCTGGAACTCTCTCCTGGCTTCTTGTTTTCAGTCAACTATGATCTTCAAAAATTTAAATGCAATGTCAATCATTATCTTATAATTTCTCTTCTTTTATTATTCTCTTTCCTTAATAATTTTTTTTTCATATTTTATCACACTCAGCAACCCCTGGAGTCTTAGAGGCTTTATTGCCTTTTTTGGGGTGAAGTTATTAAAAAAATAAGTTTCTCTCGCACTTTTCACCTGTGGAACTCTCTTCCAGTTTTCTGCTTCCCTGCCGTCTACAATCTTTAAAAGTTTAAACGCAACGTCAATCGCCATCTTCTGTCTCTCTGAAACCTGTTCTTTTATTGGCTTTTCACTTCGCTAAAGGCTTCTTATTCTATTTCTCTCTCAGTAACCTCTTGCCTCTTAGTGGCTTTATCACCTTACTTGGAGTGAAATGATGAAAAAACTTGAATAACTAAAATAATTCATTTAACAAGGCCATTTAAACATTCTCTGAAATTTGACCCATAAAAATTAACCAATTTCACTTCCTCTTTAAAGTAATGCAACAAAGAATAAAAAATGTATTATTATAAAATATGAGGTCGGTTAAAAAAAATTGTCAGTTTATTGCATGAACTAATAATGATAATAATAATCATAATCATAATAATGATATTAATGATGATGATTTAATGGAGATGTTACATTTGGCATTTCTATTTTTGTTTTTGGTGGGGGTACTCTTTCAGGATTACTGCAAAGATGCAAGCCATGGTTGGTTAAAGATTTAAAAAAAAATGGAAGAGAGCTCTCCGGATTTGTTATTTTGAGTGACTTGAGCAAGGTTTGGATACAGAGGACTTTTCTTCCGGTCGGACGACAAAAAGTAATTTCTGAGCCTGTTTTGTCAGGTAATCTGTTAAAAGAGAAGAAAAAAAAGGCAATATTTAAGAAAGTAAGATAAAGAGAATTGTAGTAGGAGAAGAAGAAAAATAAAGAAGAGGAGTAGTAAGATGAAAAAAGGAGAAGGAAGAGAAGGAAGGAAAAGTGAATAGTAGTAGGAGGAAAATAAATAGGAGGAGCAGTAAGATAAAATGAGGAGAAGGGAGATAAAGTGAATTGTAGGAGTAGGAGGAAACTAAATATGTGGAGCAGTAAGATGAAAAAAAGAAGAAGGAAAAGAAAGAAGATAAAGTGAATAGTAGTAGTAGGAGGAAAATAAAGAGGGGAGCAGTAAGATGAAGAGAGGAAATAGAAGAGAAGTAAGATAAAGAGAATAGTAGTCGTAGGAAAAAAATAATGAGGAGGAGCAATAAGATGAAGAAAGGAGAAGGAAGAGAAGTAAGAGAAAGAGAATAGTAATAGTAAGAGGAAAATAATGAGGAGGAGCAATAAGAATAAGAGATGAGAAAGAAAGAGAAGATAAAGAGAATAGTAGTAGTAGGAGGAAAATAAAGTGGGGGCAGTAAGGTGAAGAGAGGAGAAGTAAGAAAAAGAGAATAGTAATAGTAGGAGGAAAATAAAGAGGAGTAGCACTAAGATGAAAAGAGGAGAAGGAAGAGAAGTAAGAAAGCAGTACTTGTTAATGTTACCATTACCATATATGTATATATACACAACAACAATCAACCCAGCATTTCCTAAAAGACACCTTAATATGAAATATTTTTGTATTGTTTAAAAGTAAAACATAAACTTTCTGTAACTACAGTGTATTTGGTTTTATTTTTCAGTCTTTCTCTAGGCTCCTCGTTCTACCGAAACGTTCAAATTTGGATGAGTTTTTGTCGTCGTTTTATTGACGAAAACAAAATATGATGTTGTTCTATAAAAATTCTTTTTTAGTGAAGTGCTTACTTTTTTGTCAGAATAACAGCAAATACACTGGAGTTACAGAAAGTTTATCTTTTATTTAAAAAAATATAAAAATATTTAATTTATGGTGTTTTTTTTTTAAAGAAATGCAGAGTATCCCCAAAAGTGCTCTTATATATAGACTTGCCAAAAAAATTCCATAGCTACAACGGATAAATTTAAAATTTTAAAATAATTATAACATATAGATATATATATTTTAAATTACCATCACAACTAAATGCAGATTTTATCAGAGCAACAATAAGTTTTGTTTTGTAATTTAATCTTGGAGGAGATCGAAAGTACTTGGGTAGCAAAAAACTATGGCGACTTCCTTGATGAATGTCATCTTAACATGAAGGAGCTGATTAGTGAACTGGAAAGGCTCATTATAAAAATAGACATAATATATCTATATTATACAATGAAATATGTTTGAATGAAGATATACTATATATATATATATATATATATATATATATATATATATATATATATATATATATATATATATATATATATATATACGGTGTAACAACAAATTGTCCAATTGTTAGATTAAGCTTTGAACTGCTGTATCTTAGAATTGATTAAAATATCGTACTGGAAGTCTCCGAGGTTTTTATAACATTAATAGACTCTACATTGAACAATAAGAATGTATTTAGCTTTAAGTTGAAATGATGATCCCTCTTCCTGTTGTGACCTCCTGACCCGGTTTTCCTCTCTACTGTTCCCTCTTTTTAAAACTTATTCACCGTTTTCTTGATAGTTCTTGAATGGACTTTGGAGATGGAATCCAGAGTATGAATGTTTGTACCATTATTGAAGGCCTGAATGATCTTTTTTCTTTCACCATCGCTCACTTAAGAAGACATAGTGAGGCTGACACAAAACGATTTTAACCTGTTCTCTTTCTAGCTGAATAATACAAACGGTTTTTCAGTGATTCTTATGTAAAATGGTGTCAAGATGGCTAAACATCTTATCTGAAAATCTAGAAAATAGAAACTAATGTAAGTTTAGTAGTTATTTTTGTTGTTTTTTAGATATTATACATTTTGTGAGATGGACAATTACCCCGTGCTGTTACACGATTTGGACAATTTTGCTGTTACACGATTTGGACAATTTTGCTGTTACACGATTTGGGCAATTTTGCTGTTACACGATTTGGACAATTTTGCTTTTACACGATTTAGGCAATTTTGCTGTTACACGATTTGGGCAATTTTGCTGTTATATCCAGTATAAAAGATTGTATTCCTTAAAAAAATACAAAAAAACAAAAACGTTTGCACGATGTAATTCTGGGAGATAACGCCATTAGACAAGCATTCTTTGTAGTCATAAGCATTGATATGCAGCATTGTTAATAAATAAATTAAATTTGTTAACTTATCTTATGACTGAGTTTTCTGCGAATTACACCTTGTCTTCAAAAGATTTGATAGTAAGTTTAATCAAATAAAAACTTTATTGAAACAAGACAAGTTCAGTTGACCCTTGATGACAATTCCAGAACAACGTAACTATAAACAATTTTTTTCTATCCTCTGCCAGCCGCAATGATGGAGAAAGCATTACCTCGAACCATCGCCTGTGAGACACACTGCAAGAGCCACTCCGTTTCACGAGGCTCGTCCCTTAATCGAGACTCAATCGCGCCAATCCTCCGAAGGAACGCCATCGAACGAGGGCCAATAACCCCTGAAGTCTCCACTGCCACGGGAGTAAAAAAGAATCTATCAGCAAGAGAAGAATATTTAACTATTTTTTTTATCTCTGCATCCCGGGCGACGGATCCCAGCTCAACCGCGGACCCGATCAAATTACCGGCCGAAAATGTATCCGCACAGGTCGCATCCCAAGTCAACGACTTCCTCATTTTAAAAGGGAAAATGGTAATGCCATTAGAATTAAATTTTGTAAAATTACACACACTCCTGAAGTGAAAGGGATGTGAAAAAAAGGAAAGGAGGAAAAAGAAAAGGATTAAAAAGTTGTGAGTGAAAAGAGGGGAGGAATAAAAGGGAGTGATAAAAAGAGAGGAAGAAAGAAAGAAAAAACATTTTAGATATCTAAATTAATAATCAGACAGATGTGAATAAAAAGGACTTTCCCACCCTCAATATAAACTGGTGCATGAAATGACTCCATATTGTTATTTTTTTGTTATAAAATACTTTTACATACTCATCATTGTTAAGAATGATTTCGGTTTGGACTTCCAGACGATGCCGATGTAATAGACAGGTATTCCTGAGCAGGTGATGAGAAGACCTATTCCGGTTTCCCTGGGAACGGCCACCATTGGTACAATAAGGAGAAAAATGACAAATACCAAGAAAGTCACAGGAATTATGAGATTAAACTGAAAAAGAAGAAAGAAAGAAAAATATTTATCATTGCTGGTACGCTGCCATGCACTGTCATACATGTCTTTTTTAAATTATTATTATTTTTTATTTATTTATCTCCGACAGATTACATACTAACATGTTATATTTCCCTCCAAAGCTTTCGGCTTTAAGTCCCGTGTTTATTTTCTTCTGGTCGCATGTAACACACCAGTCAAAAGTTGTTAGAGTGATCCGCTGATCGCCCTGCTCATATCAGTCTCAGAGTGCTGATGCTCTCTCCTGATCATGTAGCAAGAGTCGGGAGGTAGCCCTTTTGGTTCGGAAATCTTTTGTTTGACACTCTCATGCTAGTTTTATGTTAGTCCTTTTGATACTTGAATTCATACTGGACATTTCATTCAACATCATTTATTCAGTTAGCGCATTTTGTGCCATCTCACAATTGTGGTTCATGGTGTCATTTAAGGCAGAATAGTGCAATGGCTTGATTCCATTTGCACCATAGATGTTGAGGTTACCACGTCCCTCCTCACAGAGTTTAAAGAGGAAAGACCTACAAGACAACAGGAGGTCTGAGTTTCCCCTCTCCTAGACTGATTGCCAACCAAGGCTACAGACCCAGTCTGTTTACCCATAGCTGGGTTGAGAAAAGATGGATTCATATCTTTCCCAAGTGTATAAGCATGTAAGAAATGAACTCGCACTGAAATTCGAACTTGGTTCTCCGATTCCTCAATCCGAACTGCTAACCATTATTCCAGTGTCTCCACTGGAGAAACAGAAATCTAGGGTTTCTTATGTCCGTTTTCGTTTTGACCTAGGGGTTAGGGTAAGTAAGTATAAGCATCGGATTAATGGTCAAGCTCAAGTCAGCCTTGCACAGAGTTGGAACAACCAAAGAAAAGTTTGTACTTACTTTAGCATTGGAAGGTTTAAATATGGTCATGTCCGTCTTCTTTTTCTTTGTTCAGAAGTCAGGAGGAGAAAGGATAAGCAACGTTATAATGATCGAGCTCAAGTCAGCCTTGCAAAGATTTGGAACGACCAAAGAAAAATTTGTACTTTATCGTTGGCCGGTTTAAATATGGTTAGAGTATGTCCGTTTTCTTTTTCTTGGTTCAGAAGTTAGTGTAGTAAGGATAAGCATCGCTATAAAGGTCGAGTTTGAATAACCAAAGAAAAACATATCGTACTTCATCGGTGGAGTGTCGGCGTAGTTATAATGACTGAGCCCAAGTCAGCCTTGTGCTGAGTTGGAACAACCAAAGAAAAGGTTGATTTATTTCATATGTAGAGGTTTTGAAAGACACCTACGAACGCCATGCATTAGAAAGTGAAAAGAGAATACAGTCGTCAGCGGACAGGTGAAGCGAGACGTTCGCCAGCGGGGAACAACATCTTGAAGCAAGTAGGAGAAGTGAGAGAGGAAGAAAAATGTTTAGCATTTTATAGACTCAACCATCGTCGCCTAACAACGTTTAACAAAGTCAAGTTGGGTAATCATATTTCCGGTTCCTTTACTCTTAGCATCATGGGAAAATGTATTTCTTTTTCCTTTATTATTCATTATTATTATTTTATATATCGATTTTATTTAATTTTCCCACATAATCTTGAGTATCAAATACAAATTTCGATATGATTAAAGGTTGCAAGAACAGGAACTGTTCATGAACGAGAGCAGTAGGAGAGAGTCATGGACAGGTGTTGAGAGTTTTTTTTATGATATGGTCAAATTAGAAATTGATCTAAAAAAATGACCTACAATCCGTTGTTAATTGGGGCAAGTAATGGCTTCTTAATTTTATCGCCTCCAAACAAAACTACTCTCTTTTATCGTTTCAGAGAACCTTTTTTTGCCTTCTAACAGTATGGCTGATGATAACCCCCAGGAGAGTGTCTCACTGCGACTTCTCGGGTAAACATCTTTCGATGACATGTTGTGGAAAAATTATATTGAATCAATTACTAGGTCTGCTGCTAGGAAAGTTGGTTCAGGGTAATTCTCTCTAGAATCTATCTTCTACATAAGTCTACCATTTATCCGTACATTGAATACTGCTGCTACATTTGTTCTGGTGTTCCTGCTATATATTTAGAGATTCTTGATATATTACAAAGACAAATATGCAATGTTATTGATCATGACCTGGCATCTCGGCTTCAGTCCTTTTCTCACCGCCGTAACGTAACTGTGTCTTTTCTATAACTATTTTTAGAGTAATTGTTCTGAAGAACTTTCCTCTATGGTGCTTAGATTTATGAATTTAAACGCGGTACTAGATTGGCGGCACGGTCTCATCATTTTGCGATTGAAATGGCTAAATGTAACCGTAAGTTCTATGCTAACAGCTTCTTCTATCGTACTTCTCATTTGTGAAACTCCCTTCTGGTTTCTTCCTTTCAAGTCAACTTTGACCTTCAAAAATCTAATGGAATGTCAATCGTTATCTTCTTTCTTTTTAATTTTTGTTCTTTTATTGTTCTCTCTCCTTAATAATGTTTTTTCTTTTCTTATATTCACTCACACTCAACCAACGTCTTAGTGGCTTTATCGCCTTCATCAATGCCGCTTCGGGTTCAAGTCTTTTAAAGTCCGTTTCAGATTCAACCTCACGCCACAGCTTCTTCCACGCAGAGGTCATGGTCCTCTTTATAACAACTTGCCAGGCCATATCGATAATTATGAGGCATATCACGAGGTTACAGTTGTCCTTCCAGAATTCTCGAAGGGTGAAGTTTGTGCTCTTCGTCACCTCAAAGCAGAGGCGGAACAGATGCTTGATAAAGAGCTTCTTGAAATTAGAAACCACTTGCTGGTCTATGGGGTGCAGGATAGGGGTGGTGTCGGATGGAAAATAGAGAAACTTTATAAACTTTGAGGATGTCATTGTCGAGATGAGGTGGGTGAGTAGGTGCATTTTCCAGGACGAGTAAGGCTTCTAGGGGTAGGTTATTTTCCTGGAAATATTTCTTAACGTCAGGACCAAAGACCAACTTTGCCCACTCCACAAAGAACTGCCTGGTGACCCACGCCCTCGGGTTTGTCCTCCACATAACCTGCAGTTTTTGTTTTCAGGATCTTACGTGACTTAAAGACTCTGGGGTTTTCTGAATAATAAACGAACAGTGGCTTAATCTTACGGTCGCCGCCCTCATTGGCGAACAGTGCAAGGATTAGTCTATCCTTCATGGATTTGTGGTCTGGCATCAGCTTTTTTTCTACCGTTATATAAACCCTCCTTGGTATCTTTTTTCCAAAAAGGTCCTGTCTCGTCACAATTAAAGATTTGCTAGGGACGTATCCTTTGGCTGCTATAATTTCAGCAAAGGTTTTGAGGTAATTATCAGCTGTCTTCATATTCGCGCTTTCTGCTTCACAATGTCTGACAACGGAGTGAATGACGGTCCTCTGAAAATACTCGAACCATCCCCGACTGCCTTTAACGTCCGATGTTACGTCTGTCGAATTGTCTGGTTTCTGCGGCAGCAAATAAGCGTAAATAGCTAGCGCCTTCTCGCAGATTATAGTCTCCGTCACTGTATCGCCTGCAAGCTGCTTCTCCATCAACCACACCATCTTCAGCTTCTCCATATTTTCATGGTCCGCTGTTTAGAAATTATTTTAACGCCCTTTATCGAATCTTTCTGCTTCATTATGGTGCAGATTGTAGAAGTGCTACTCTCGTACTGCTTTACCAAGTCTACTACACGCACACTTTGGTCATATTTGTCAGTAATTTCTTTCTTTAATTCAAAGCACATCGTCCGTTTCTTCTTCCTCTCAGCACTGTGCTTCGCACTCACTTTCTTCGGACCCATGTCTAGAAAAACGATGTTTTTCAAAATACCCGCAAGCACAAATGCGAGCACAATACTGATGCTTCCACTTCCAGCTAACCCCTTAAAGTGAACGAGTCAGACACGGGATACTGGGCGTATGTTGCAGCGTCCACTGTGACGTTCGTTGCGCCAACTAGCGATCGGGTACCTGAAGCTGACACGTAACCCAAATTTTAGCAAAATAATCGTCTGAGATATGGCTCGTATTTCGAAAAACCCGTTAGTTGGGACACTTCTAAGTCAAGATACCACTGTAATCGTATTCAACATTCTTTGTTTAATTCAAAATTTATGGTTTTATTTCATAACATTCAAATATGTACACTTTAAAAATTTTGCTACGTATTTTGCTAGGAGTGCCGTTGTTAAAAAGATTGAGAGACACTGGCTTGGACACTAACAGGTGCTACCACCCCGGGTCAGAACGGACTGGGGAGCAACAGCAATTATGAGGTAGTTCCACGCTCCTCACAACCTCCTGATTTTAGGCCTTGCTGCCGGTTGTAGTTTATTGTTATACCCAGGACTAACAATCTTCAGTACATGATATGACTTACCTTGATAGGTCTTTTAAGGTCCGGCCGAGTGTACCTCAAATACAGAAGAGCTACAATTGATAGCCCAACTGAGAACCATTGCACAAAGCTGATGTAGTTGATCAAGGCGAAGACATCGTCTGATATAAGCATAACTAAGGACATTATTCCCTAAAAAAAAAAAAAAAAAAAAAAAGGATTTTTACAGTAAGTGTCAAAAGATCATACAAATACACAATGATGAAACGTGACAAGTTAAAACAAATTATAGGGTGACTGAAAAATAACTCCCTATTTTATGTATGATGAACTCTCCCATTTTGTAAAAATTACAGTTAGACAGGAGAGTCCAACATGCACAAAATAGGGAACTACTTTTCAATCACCCTGTATATTTATAAGCATAGTTATGATATTAAAGAAAAAAAGATCTGAAACGGTATTGATTTGGGTATTGGCTGTAAAAAAAATGGCGCATCCACTCATATCCGATGATGCCAGTCTACTAGTTGTAGACGTCTACTCAGGCACATTTGTGTTTTTTCAATACCCACAACTGTGGTTTATACTGTAACTATGATGAAGCGGACCCAATTTCACTCACAAGGTGTGGATCAACCCGTTATACGGTT